TGAACTGTATTAACGGCATTTGTGGTTGGACTGGTCGACACTATGTCCACTAGATAGTGTGCGCGGCAAACGCGTTTTTCCGTACTCGCAGGCAAAAGAGTATTCTTTGAAAGGTACGCGAGACGGCCTTCGCTCGGATATATTAATCAAAATAGGGAAGAAAAGACTAATCGCAACTTCCATTTCATGCAAAGTTTAGAAAAGAACTACATCTTCAAAAATGCCAAAGGGTTGACGGTAATTTTACCTAATAATTTGTGTTGAAAATACATTTTCCTTAGAAAATGGGAAATTTCTACCATTATATTATCAATTGTTTACCACAGATTGACAGGTTGGGGGGAGGGCCGATAGCATAGTAGCCTATCGCGATATTTTGCATGGAGATATTGTATCGATACATAGACGCCAAGTCTTGATATTTTCATGTTAACTTCCAGGGTGGAGGAGGTCAGTTAAAACTGTCCATGTTTTATCCTTACCCTTCGTTTCCATTATCCTTCAAATTGCGCAAATTGAAATTGCGAAATGAAAATACGCAAAATGGAATCACCTCAATTTCGCAAAAACTCCCGTTTATCGCAAAAAAGTTTTACACTCGAATGAGTGACACTGGTTATATACTCTTGTGACACTGGTTATATACTCTTCTGAAATCGAACCCTCTTTGTGTAGGATATTTCACAACGCAAAATAACCATAGCACTATCTTGCGCCCAAGTTATATGCAAATTAATGTATTTTACTATGACAAGAGTATTAATATGATTCATAATTACATTTCATATCTGAACACTGTCACCTCTGACTTGTCAGGGTGTTTTTTGTAAAAAACAATTACACTAAATTGAGTGTGAAAACATTTTTATTTGACAACTTTAATTTCCATTCCAAAATATTGATCAAGAAAGGGAAGGAGGAGATGGAAAAAAGATGTGAAATGAACAGACTGAGAACTTCATCTTATTAGGTAAATGGAGAAATTTTCCTTTGGAGATATTTGCAGTTGAATACAAGTAATAAAACAACACTCAGCATATGGCAAAATGTTTAAAATTGCAATAATATAGACCTTATTTACAGCGGCGCCATCTTTGACAGATATTTTTAACGGGATCGGGGATAGAAGTGCATCTGTTTTAATGGGATATACTATAATTAAATGTGTTTTTGGATTTTGCTCTGAAGAAACACTGCAAAAATATCTTTCCAAGAAGTTTCATTAGACAAAAAAAAAAAAAAAAAAAAAACATGAGCTGTGATCTGGGAGCTTTATACAGTTATTTACAGGAAATGTCACTGAAAACACGTCAGATCTATCTCTCACAGACTCGCTTTCATACCTGTCATGGCACTGCTCTGAATAAGGTCTATTACATCGAGGCTTAAGTATCATAATAGTATCATATTGAAGAGCCTCTTGTGATTCCCACCCCTAGTTGACATTTGACATTAGTTGACAAGATTAAACCCAACGGACAAAACAGCAAAAAATAAAATGACCAAAAACAGCAGAAATGTACCTGAAGTTTTCAAGGATGACAATTTCATTATGATAAAAAGTATAAAATGTTAACAAGGTCGACAGATAACTTCCTCGTAATAATACATTTTGCCAATCAAAATGTTAAAATCATGTAATGAAAAAGACAAAAATGTTACGGTAGCTTTAACAAACACATCTTTATTTTTCATAAAGATGTGCATATTTGCCAAAATAGCAAAGTGAAGTTAAAAACAAAGGGGTGAGAAGACAGACACCAAAAAAAGGGTGGAAAAAAAGAAAATATATATGTTAATGCATGTAGAAAACATGGTAACACAACACAAGCTGGAATCAGATATTCATTGTTAAAGTCATTTTACCACGCATGTCTGAGGAAACGCGTTTTGTAGAATGACCCAATAAAGAACAAAAGAAAAGTAAAAACAGAATCATTAACAATACATAAGGCAGAGTTTACTCGCTGTTGTTCTTTTTTTCCTTAGAAACCGCCGTTCTAAGATATTGCCAGATATAGCATTTTGGAGAAAACTTCTCAAATAAAAATAATAAAAAACAGCAACGGTTTGAATGGTGGATGTTTGGAGATCATCCCTTGATAATTCTCTTCCCCTCACAAACTAATTGGTTTAAAGTTGCCAAGTATGCGCCACAAGCTATTTCAAACCTGCATGCTATTGATATTTCATGTTTCAAAGCACAAATCCTTTCAATAAAGAGAAAAAAAAATCCTGAGATGCGCAAGCTATTTTCCTCCATACGTGTCCACTGGGGGAAACCAACATTGTCTACTTGGTTTTCTTTTGCCCCGATTAGGACTTGTTTGTTGTCCCTGCTGCACTCACAGCCACAAACTTGGACAAAGTTTGGCTCAAAAGCTGACACTCTCTGCTGACCACACAATCGGCCAATAAAGCGTCAGCTTCCCGGCCACTTCAAACGGCGGGAACAAGGCGAAACTCGCCTCAAGAACCAGACCTAAAGAGAAACGGCACGTTTCTCTTGCCGAAATACCGAAAGAAAAAAAAAAATCTATGAAAATGCTGCCAGCAGCTGAATCTGCTGCCAATGCAGAAGGGACACGTTACAAGTGCTGGTCCCTCTGGCAACAGACAGATATAGAGCGCTGAACCAAGCACCTGGATCTTAAGGAAAGAGAATATATTTGGCCTTGGTGCAAAACGTAAAAACATCTGAGTCAGTTCGGCTTCTGTAGTGACATCTCTCAGTGTCTGTGCAGTCTGCCGACAAAGTGTAAAACGGATCAGTGGGTAACAACTAGCATACTGTTCAATAACAGGTCTACACTACTTTGGAACATGTTTTGCGACCAGCGAAAAAAAAAAAAAAAAAATCTCAATTTCTTCTGACTGATGCAATTGTTGGACGTTAGGAAATGCATCATGCTACCACCAAATTAGCAGAACTTTTTAATGATCTTCACAGTTTCTTCTGAATCATTTTGCTAACATTGATTTGAGAACCTAATCAACAAATTCATTGAAGAGACTCAATAGAATTATTCATCAATGATTCAGTCATAAATTGGCTTCCGAGCAAGTTAAACTCTAAAAAAAGAGAGGAGACTATTTAGCCATTTAAATATGGTTAAATATTAAACACTGTTAAAAATATTGTTGGTTTAACTTAAAAAAGTAAGTAACCTGGTTGCCTTAAAATTTTAAGTTGATTGAACTGGAAAAAGTGAGTTAATACAATGAAGGAGATTGATTTAATCATCAGAAACTCAAAATAATAAGTTCTCAACTAAATACATTTTTTAAGTTGATTTGACAAATGAAAAAAAATGTTGTGATAACAAATCTTGAAACATTTTTTTTTCCAGTGTAGAGTGTTACTAAAAAAATGTACAGTACTATTTAAAAGTTTGGAGTTGGTAAGATTTTAATGTTTTTGAAAGAAGTCCCTTTACGCTCAAAAAGCTGCATTTATTTAATCAAAAATACAGTAATAATGTGAAATATTATTACTATTTAAAATAGCTTTCGTCTATATAGTAAAAACAATTTATTCTTGTGATCAAAGCTGTATTTTCCGCATCATTACTCACATGATCCTTCAGAAATCTGTCTAATATGATGATTTGATGATCAAGAAACATTTCTGATTCACAAATGTTGAAAATAAATGTCTTTACTTTTACTACTCGCGCAATTTAAATGACTAAAACTATAGATTACTGTAAAAAATATTGTTGGTTTAACTTAAAATTAAGGCAACAAGGTTACTTCTTTTTTTAAGTTGATTGAACTGGAAAAAGTGAGTCAAGTGGAAAAAGAAGAAATAAAATGAAGGAGACTGATGTAATCATCAGAAACTCAAAATAATAAGTTATCTGAACTAAATAATTTATTTAAGTGTTTATTTAAAAAAATATTTAAAAAATGTTGTGATAACAAATCTTGTCAAATGTTGAAAATAAATGTCTTTCCTTTTACTACTCGGGCAATTTGAATGACTAAAACTAATGATTTCTACACTGTGTAAAAATATTGATGGTTTAACTTAAAAAAATTAAGTAACCTAAAATTTGCCTTAAAATTTTAAGTTGATTGAACTGAAAAAAGTTGAAATACAATGAAGGTGATTGATTTAATCATCAGAAACTCAAAATAATAAATTATCTGAACTAAGTCAATTAAGTTGATTTGACAAAAGAAAAAATGTTGTGATAACAAATCTTGAAAATATATTTTTTACAGCGTGTTAAATAAAGAAAATTGGACCCTAAACTTTTGTTCAGCCGTGTACAATCATAATTATGTTTGCGGTGTAATTCCTCTGCTCATACTGAGCTATAAACTTGCCTCTCATCTAACAATATGTGAGCTGTACAACAGGAAGGTTCAATACAGGTTAGTGTCAGTCTGTGTAACGCAGTTAGACTGCATCACCACTAGATGGATACCTGAATCTGTTTTCCAAAAATCAAAATGTACACAGACAACACATAAAGAAAGCCGTTTTTTTCATAACTAATAGCCACACTGGAACAGTCTGGGTAAAGATAGCAGCTTACAAGAGGTTGGAAACATCAACCCAGATATCAATTGTGATGTTTACTGAAGTTTGTTTTCATTGTTCTGGCAGTTTCAAGGGAGCAATTTTCAGTGATGAAATTGAACCGCTCTCCTTGAGGAATTCATTAGAATGAGAGGAAATAGTCCCCTCGTCGATGTCTTTCCCGGAGGGAATAAGCCGGACGTGGACCCTGGGGCACGACTCACGAGCGCGACACGCTGCCAGCTAATAAAGCTCGGGGGCTAAGTGGAGACAGTCGCTGAAAACAATACAGATAAACACAAGCAAAGACGAGTGGGCGACGCTTTGGGGGATTGATTGGCATGTGCAATTAAAAACACTCGCACAAAAAGAGTTTTATAGGTAAAAAGTGAAACGCTTTCAATGTTATGCTAATTCTGAGAACGCTAAACGGATATCCGAATCTAATAAATAATCAAAAACACCAGAGGAAACGGTTTGAGTCATTTCATTTTATTTATTTTTTTCATCTCAATTAGCATACAAAGAATTAATGTGCATCTTGAATGTTAAACGTTCAAATAAACAGTCAAAAAAAAAAGGACAAATAAATAAAAAGTTGCCTGTCGCTCCCAAATGATTTGGGTGAAAGTAGAGTACAGACGGCGAGAGTCCGATTCATGTGTGCTTTACCGTGGTAAAGGATCCAGATCTCGCTGGAGAAGGCTTTGAGCGCCTTGTCGAGATAAATACATACTATTATCTATGAGGCAACAAGCATAATCTGTTATCGTGTTAACATGAGGCGAAAGAAAAAAGTGATTATTGCAAAAATACATACAAAAAGAAAGGAAAATAAAGGGTAAACACTAAAAATGCTCTCGATTGAAGTTGCAAAAAATATACCATTTTATACTTGGTACTATCACAGCAAATCATACTGTCTGCAAAAGGTGCTGCTGTCTGTATAGTAGAACTTCATACGCTTGGGGAACTCAAGATCACAAGCCACATTCTGGAAAGCAGCACAGGAGCACAAAGATGACAGTCTGGAAGAGGTCAAAAGTTTGCGTGAACATAGCGGAATTGTACAAGGCCAAACAGACTCATTGTAAACGTACCTCTTTCAGGATGTGTTGTATGCATGTGTAAACCAATTGAATGATGCAATTAGAGCCAATCTCTTAAAAAAAAACCTTTTGGTTTACAGGAAGAAAGGCACTGTTTTGGCTTTTCTTTTCAGAGCAAGGCACTAGAGAATGTGTGAATATTTATAAGTTACTGCATTGCAAGTGAGGGCCTTTGCATTAAACATTTATTAAAGTTCAAGTATCAGCCGTAAAGGTGCGGATACTGGGAAGAATTTGCTTTTTAAAACGGACCCCGCGCTGAATGCGTTATACGATAACGCAAATGCGCCGTATTGTCGTGATCAATGATTTATTTTAAAATCGCAAAAGGTCCAAGACCTAAAATCCCAAGAAGAATCGCAATAAACATGTTTATTGAGGAAATAAAAAAAAAAGACTTGGGACTATGAGCATGTTTTTCTGGCATCACAGCAAGATGCAAGTACAAACTGCTGAGGTTTAGATATGGACTAGTAATTTAGGCAATAAAAATTGCGACAAATAGCACTATGATATCACGCTCTTTTAATAGAACGACAAACCTCCTAAATGTTTTAATGCAAGAAAGTTGCTTTTTAGGGGGAATTTTCATTCTCTTTTTATAGGGATGTTTTTCTCATAAAAAAAATAAAAAAGTTCTTGGAAGGGGTGTTATGGGATTGTGAAAAGCATATCGGATTTCATGCTAATGCGATGGCAGCCAAAAATGGAGGTATCATCGCACTGTACCAGCATCGAAATCAAAAAATCAAGTCAAACCAGTTTTTAGAACACTGCTTAATTTTCCATTGTCTTCTTTGGAGAGCAATATTAAAAAGGTCGAGGTCATTTTTTGTCTTTTTTATGTTGTTTTGGTATGACAAAGGCCCTGCTTTGTGCCTTACATTGTATGTTTTGTACTGAAAGATGCCAGGTTTCATTACGATGGAGCAAAACAAGCTTTAAATGACATTGGTGGGCCAGATGAAGGTCTTCAAAGTAGAGGCAAGAGGAATTGGGTAAGCAAACTCAGTTTGCGATCGTCAAGGCTTGCATGTGCTTGGCGATGCTGTATACGTAGGTGATGTCAGGTCTTTTCTCTGGGTCAGGGTTGATGCACATATCTACCAGTTTTCTCAGCTTGAGGGGAAAAAAAGATGAAAATATAAGATGTTAATTCATAATACAGATCAATAATACGATAATCCAGACAAATCCCACTTAAGGCCTTTTCACACCGGGACGAATTTCGCGAGCGTTATTCGCCGACGTTTAACGCCTCGTGACTAAACAAAGGTCGCCAATGTGAATGTTCACACCAACGCATAAAAGCGTCATTTTTTTAAAAGACACCTCGGCTTTGTTTTTTTTTAGTTTGATGCGCAGCGTCAAAAACTACCCGACCAATGAGATTGGTGCTTTTGCTCACGTGTTTGGAGCTTCTGAAGTTACAGTAAAACACAACTTGGGGGCGCTCAAACACAAAACGATCTTGCCGAGCACACACATGGAACGGAGAAGAAGATAAACGGCAAGTAGCGTCGTCTAAACACAGCCAGGAAAAAATAAGATAAGAAAGATGCGAGGCAAGATGTTGCTGGTCTCGTTGGTGTTAAAACATAAAGATGACAAACGCGACAGTGACTACAAACATCTTGATAAAAGAGAACTACTGGATGGAGTCGTATTGCAGAGCAAATGGGCACCATCTAATGTCAGGGAATGAATCTGCATGTTCACTCGCCTCATCGTCAGCGAAAATCGTTTGGGTGTGAACACAAAAAACCTGTTGAAAAACACTGGCGAATAATGCGCGCTGATTTTCGTCCCAGTATGTATGGGCCTTTAGACACCAAACATTTGAATGGTATATATATATATATATATATATATATGAAGAGTTCAGATGCAAAAGCCTCTAAATGCCATTTGAAATTTTCTTCTAGAATGATCATTTTTATCAAACTTGTATATTTAAGTTCAGTAATTTTACTTAAATGACAATTAATTGGTAATCTTCATTGCCATTTAAGTGAAATTACTGAACTTAAATATACAAGCTTGATTAAAATGATCATTTTGGAAGAAAATTTCAAATGGCACTTAGAGGCTTTTGGATCTGAACTCTTCATATAAACAGTTAGTTCCAATCCTTGATTCTGGTCAATAGCTGTGCTTTATTCATGATAAAACACGACTATGACCGCTTCACACAACGGTTCTATTTATCACTGCGCAACACTGCAGTTCCTATGTTGCTTTTATTTGAGCTTTCATGCATATTACACAAAGCCTTTTAGTGCTTTTACTTCATGACAGTTGCACTAATATATATATATATATATTTTTTTTTTACTTTAATATTTTTATTGTGTGGTAATTGTTTTATAAAAGCAATTAGGTATTCGAGGCAAGTGCTGTATGGTGAACAAGTAACGGCTGAAGAGGTTACTCTGCTTCGCGTCATGCCTAACAACGCCCTTCAGCCGTTACTTATTGTATAACTTACTGTGTACTATATACACACATATTTATTTATATTATTAAATTGTAAGGGGAAAAAACATCCACTCTTAAATCTTTCATAATAATAATAATAATAATAATAAATACATTTCCAACAGTTTTAGTTGGAGTCTGGATCCCTGTATTAGTCATTGGTTTAAGACAAACAAGATGATTGACAAAAATGGCAAGTGTTACAGAGAACAGAAGAGCCGAGGGAAAGGCTCCAAGCAATGTAACTTCCAGCAAGAAGCCCTCTGGCCCTGCGAATGTTTGTTAATTCTCTGCTACAAACATTCTACACATGAAAGAAGTACACAAACACACAGTCCCCGCAAGTGAGGGATGGGAATGATAGTTGCGATGCTGCACTGAGAAGCAAACTGAGCCCAGCCAAGCAGCAGCAGCATCATTAAAAGTGGGGGAAAGGGGGAAAAAAAAAGCGGAAGGAAAGAAGATGCCCCTGTGTCAGATCGCCATGGCAACCGCCTCTCTTGCCGGGGCCTGGCTGCTGTTGCATGGCGCGGCGTCTCCTAATCAGCCCGGCATGTGAAATGCAAATGCAGACAGTCTGAGAATTAGTGGAGAAGAAATAGGAGGCGGCGGCAGTGGGGGAAAGTAAGGATGCAGATATGTAAAATATTCATGCTTTTGCGCGAGAGAAATGCGGGGGGTTCGATGGTCGCGGTTTCCACCCGTTTTAAGGGGGGGCTGTCTGTCAGGTGAGATACAAGAGACGGTAAATGACACACCAAAGATGAGCGGCTGACACTTTTTTGCCTTTCGCCTTCAGGAGCATTGTTTACATGTAGACAGGGAGGGAAGGCAGACCTTCCTGCAGCACTGGAAAGCTGAAGGAAGTGCTGAATGGGAGATGAGTCGTGCCAGGCTTGTAAATAATAATAATGGCAGCTTTGGTCGGACGTGCCGGATCTATCGGAGGATTTCGTGGCTTCTCCAATGGTTGACATCAGAGAGTGCCGGCATGTTACGTGGAAAGACCTGCTTTCCATGCTGGAAATTCACATGCTGTTTTGGTGATGGACTACTTGATGGACCAGTACTGAACATCGTGTTCAAAAGTATGGGGAGTAACTAAAAGAGACTGCTCTGATTACTCGGTCATCATTTACTCACCCTAAAGTTGTTCCGAAAGTGTCAGTGTTTCGTTTCATAAGAAGTACAGCATTTTTTACTATAGGTAGCTCTCCAGAGTACTCATGTTCTCACTCATAGACGTCTAACCTTGACTGACGAATAAGACCAAATTAATTTAAAAAAAAAAGGTACGCGTGAAAGGCGGCGGAGCCTCAGTGCACACCTACCTATTATATAATCGCCATGAACCAATGTTAGAACAAAGGTGTTTACCAGCCGTAGCAAACTTTTCAGGAAAATTTGCTTTGGCAAGCTTTTCTGAAACTCCAAATGAAGTTTGATTTGGCTTGATTTTGTTCGAAATGACGTCACTGAAGATTTTTCTTCGATTTCGCTTCAAGTATATCGGGGGCATTAGTGAGATTGACACAACTATTAACGTTCGGCCACATTAACAAAATTTCGACAATTTTCTAGGCTAAAAAGGTCATTGCCAATTGTCAATAGTGTAGCGATGTATAAAGCAAAGCTCACACGGAAGTCACTTTCAGACAATGTAACTTGGCCAATCTGCATGTGCAATACATTGAGCCTCAAACATACCTCCTCAGAGTAATGGTCAGCCGGTAGTGGGGGGTAGTCACACTGCTCGATCTTTTTACACAGCGAGTACAGGTTCATTTTGTCCCCGTAGAATGGACTCTGCAAGGCAGCCATCTATGTGTAAAGAAAAGAAATGTGAGAGTTTTAGAAAGATGGTTTCAGGCAGCTTGCTAGAGGGATCATGTCATGATCATTTCAATTCAATTAATTAAAACAAAGGTACATGTAGAATAAAAAAACAAACATTTACAAAACATTTCATTTCCATGGTTGTTCTCTTAAAGGCTTCAGAGTTTACACCTGGAGGTTGAGTAATTCATTTACTCCAATGCAGGTACCCATATCTCTCATGCCTGCAATGCACACTAAATCTTCATCAAGCAGGGGCCGACTCGGTCTGCGGAAGAGACTATGATGTCCCACGTCACAGATGGCAGCAGACAACTGCCATATGTTTGCTCAAGACGTCAAAAAAACTAGGAGTCAAGTCTTTAGAGCATACATCATGTCACTCTCGGGATGCTGTGTTGCATTAACTATATTAAACATTCTTACACTCTTAAAAATGGGTTATTTATGGACATTGTCATTGATGGTTTCACGAAGAACATTTAATATCCATAGATCCTTACCACTGCACAGGAGGTTCTTTATCGCAGAAAATCTTTCTTTTAAGGAGTGTGGAACCTTTCAATTGCAGAATAGCTTCTTAAGATCATTAAAAAATGGTTCTTTCAAGAACTGTTCACTGAAAAGTTCGACATCACTCCAAAAACATCCTTTTGGATGTAACTTTATTTTTAAGAGTGCACTTAGAACAATATAGTTCATAACTTTAATATATAGAATAATATAGTTAAGCTGTTGGATTTTTAGCTTATTGCTATATTAAAGGGTTAGTTCACCCAAAAATGAAAATTAAGTCATTAATTACTCACCCCCATGCTGTACCAACCCCGTAAGACCTTCGTTCGTCTTCGGAACACAAATGAAGATATTTTTGATTAAATTTGAGAGCTGTCTCACTACCACATTGGCTCCTAAGGGACTGGCTCTTGACGGCCCAGAAAGTCAATGAAGAAAAGGTTTAAATATTCCATGTGACTACAGTGGCTCAACTAGAAGTTTATCAAGCGACGAGAATACTTTTTGTGCGAAAAAACCAACAAAAAATAACGACTTTATTCGACTATTCCTTTTCTTCCTTGTTGGCCTGAAACGAGACTTCAATACGATTTCCACGACGCATGCGCGAGAATTGCGATCTCCTTCAACTACTTCAGTTCAGTTCTCGCGCATGCGTCGTGGAAATCTAAGGAAGTCTCGTTTCAGGCCAACAAAGAAGAAAAGGAATAGTCGAATAAAGTCGTTATTTTTGTTTGTTTTTCGCACAAAAAGTATTTTCGTCGCTTGATAAACTTACAGTTGAGCCACGGTAGTCACTTGGAATATTTAAACCTTTTCTTCATTGACTTTCTGGGTCGTCAAGAGCCAGTCCCTTAGGAGCCAATGTGGTAGTTATACAGCTCTCAATTTTAATCAAAAATATCTTCATTTGTGTTCCGAAGACGAACGAAGGTCTTACGGGGTTGGTACAGCATGGGGGGTGAGTAATTAATGACTTAATTTTCATTTTTGGGTGAACTAACCCTTTAATATTGAATTCAACTGATGTGTGTGGAGGTAAATTTTTGCTCAGTTGTGCTTCTGACTTGTTAACGTTAATGTTTGTTTTTAAAGACTGAAAACGAAATAGAGAAATTTAGGCAATAGAGTCGGAAAAAAAAAAAAAAAATCACGCCACAGGTGGCAAGTATCTTCAAATGAACCACTACAAACTAAATGCATCAATTTTCTCAACACTTTTAAACCACGCTCGCCAACAAATGGCTAATTAGCTTTCTCTATCTGGCCTGTTACACAAGGAAAATGATGGATGTGCTGTCCCAAGAAACCATAATAACACGAAAAAAAATAAATGCATTTAAAAAGCTTTTAAAAAGGTTGGTAGCATTTTCAGTAGATGTTTTGTGAATGTAGAAGATGAAAAATAATGTTGATGATCCCACAGTTTTTGGGACATAAATCATAGTGGTACGCAAGAGCTGGATGCAGTGCATCCTGTTAGCCTGGAGCTGTGCAATCCCGCTCAGCCAGGAAGATGATGCTTTGTTGACGTTATGAGATTATGATACTGCGAAAGCAGACTGGTAAAAAACAGCCCCATACAAAACAACTGAAAAAAAAAAAGCTTTCCAGATGCCAAGCATGCAAGCCACACAGTACTCGCACGAAACCACTACACCGCAAAGCACACTGGACGAGAACTCAATTAAATTGACATAGAAGGACAGAGAGGAAACGGCGAGCGAGTTAACGGAGGTGGGGGTGTGATCGAGCGAGGCGAAACGGCGGTTTGGGCTGTCAGAGGAGGAGCGGAGGAGTGGCAGAACTCATGGAGCAGAGCCGGTTTCATCACCGCTCCACACAAAATGGGAAAGGGAGGGCCAGAGGAAGGGGAGTCCCTCTCTAATCACTGGCAGTGCAGGAACTGGGAGGACTGGGATGTTTCTTTAACATGTACCATTCTCACACAACCAGTAGTTCATACAGTACTTTGAACTAAATGTGTCAGAGCAAAAGTCACCAAAATAATGCTCAGGTGTTGTTTGAAGAGACCACAACCAAGTCTCCATATCGGCATTTACACAGCAGCAACATTACGATTAAGTGACATATAAATGGTGACAATTCTATTCTAGAACTAATGTGACTGTTACATTTTTAGGATTCAGACTTGAATTCAAGTTGTTGCATTTTTTTTTCATGTGGGGTTCCAGTAACTCAAATAAACAATGTGAAGTAAAAAATTAATGTCATGTCCCAAGAAAGCTTAATGATACTAAAATTTAATGCAATAATGAAGCTAAAAAATATATATATATATATGCATGACAAAAGCAGAAATAGATGGAAAAAACAAATCTATCTATAAATAAATAACTTTAAAAGTTATTTATTTGTAAATGGACACGTTTCTGTTTGTGTGTGTGTGTGTGTGTGTTTCACTGTCTGAAAAAAAATCATTCAAAAATCAAAAAATCATAATTTTGGGAAGAAACATCATGGCCATATTCCAGGATGACACTGACAAGATTCATCAGCTCAAATTGTGAAAGAATGATTGGGAGGAGCATGAAGAATCATTTTCACACATGAACTTATGAAAGAACTCAATGAAAATCTTTGGGATTGTGCTGGAGGAGACTTTACAGAGAGCTGGACTCTTGCACTGACAATACAAGATCTTGACCACAAATGTATGCACCTCTTGATGGAAATAAATGTGATGTTATTTCCATCAAGAGGTGCATCAATTTTTGGCAGCAAAAAGATACAAAAAATGACGAGCTTTAATGTTTGCGGTTGCTATTTGTCAAGCATTAAATCCCCAAATCAGAGCATTTCTCTTAAAAAAGAAGCATTTTTTGCCCGGTGTTTTACTTAATCTTTGCAATATGGCAACCATAGACACGAAAGCTCGTAGAGGTTTGTTAAAAAAAAGGCTGTAATATTTTGCATCCTCATTTTTTGTAAAAAAAAAATGTACACATGATCTCTCCACACAGTGAAGAAGTGCCAATGATGTAGAAACACTGACAAACATTTAGAGATCTCCATTTGAGATACTATGCTTAAATACAAGTGTCACCCAGTCAGTCTGTGTTCTGAGCCTCTTGCGCTGTTTGCTGTGACTAAATTTGCCATCAAACCCCTTCAATGATGAACTATAGTCGAGACCCATGTTTGGATTTATTACAATGTTTGAGATTGTGGTTTGTGAAATAAATGCAATTACAATCTATGTGTGGCAATACAAAGCCTTTTATTTGTGGTTGTTTTAATAGAAAAACAAACAATGTCATTTGGAATTACTATTAGGAATTTCACTGTTTCTTGTTTTACCAGTAAAGTAAAAACTGTTAATTTATATGATAAATAGCCTATAATAAAAAAAGAAAAAAAAAAGAAAACAAGACTAGAGGATGTAAAATAAGCCTCCCACATTTGTGCTTAATTGTGAAAGTGCAATTTTTTTTTTAAACGACAGCAACCGCTGTGATTATAATTTTGAACGAAATAATTGTGATTATCATTTGAACCATTATGCAGCATGATAATAGTCTAGAAATGGTCTAGCAACTCTTCGTTGGCTTTCGAAGTGGAAAAACCAAACTCTCGTCAGGCCAATCACATCGTGTATAGAGTTGTTGGGCGGGCTTAACACAATGACGGCAGAGTTGAGACGGTTCTGCGCCGTGAGTTCCCTGCTACTTGAAAACAAACAAGATGCTGCAGGCGAACAGCAATCTTTCGATTCGGCTTTGGCCGCTACTATAGAGGACTTGGAGTAAAGAGAAAGTCACTTAAGTCATTCTTAAAAAAGGAAGATGTGTTCGGAGTTTTGACGACCGGATACGGCAAAAGTTTAATATATCAACTTGCTCCGCTAGAGGGAAAACGCATGGGACTCACTCAGCCACAGCCGTTCGTTGCTCTGGTTGGTCAGCGCTACCCTATGGCGTGCAGAGGGATATTGAAAGACAATCTTTTATCCCGCCCCTCGAATTGATGTATGCCAATTGTGAGTTCCCAGACCTAACATCTTGATGTAGGTCTGGCTTGCCTAGCTAGCATGATGAAATCGTGACTAAAAATAGAATAAACAGCCCACACATTTATGCCAAGTTTCAAAGACAAGGCTTAAGCCTAGTTCAAAACTAAATGCATGTTTTAACAAAGCAACTTGCACTGACTTAACTTAAAATAAATCAGAGCCTTTTTTTAAAGGCATGTTTATAAAAGTTACTAAAATGTCCTAACTGAAATTAGGCTTAACCCTGGCTTAATCCACGCCTCGTCTTAGAATAAATGAAAAATGGATAAAGTAGTCAGGTAAACTTAGACATGCTTTTTTCAATATGTAGGATGAAAATAATGGGGCCAAAACTTGTTTTTTGTAGAAAAATGCATGTCATTCTTGTTCCTCCATCAGTTATGGTGATGGAAATGTGTGTATGTGAGTGTGACAGTAATGGGCTCTGTGAATGAGT